TATTACAAGATTGATTAATTACAATTCCTATACAATCTATATATAGAAGAATGTGTGGTAGTAGGTGTAGTGGATGTGATAGTGGGTTAGGTGAAGTGGAGTGTGTGGTGAAGTGGAGGTAGGTGAAGTGGAGTGTGTAGTGGAGTAGGTGAAGGTAAAGATGGGAAATTCTAACAAAAACTATATTCTAACTTGATCGTCAGAAGGTTTTCTCAACCAACTCTGGTCAGGAGAGATCATTGACATCTTGGTATTTTTCCTACAGTGCACAGGAAGGAGCAGCTCATCTCGATTTTCCTGGGGAGAAAATTTCATCCTTTCACACTTCTTAAAATAAAGATTATTTCTCATCTACATGTTTCTGATTAAATTTTGAATATATTTTTCTAAATTATTACTCCCTCCGTCCCAAAATATTAGTCCCTTATTCCATTTTTCATTGTCCCAAAATATTAGTCCCTCTTCAAAAATCAAGTACAAAAATAATATAAATTTCCTATTTTACCCTTCTTTTAAATTAATAAACAACATAAAAAGTACAATTATGCATTGATATTCTCAAAAAATGTACTATCAAAAGGATAATTTTGAAAAATCAACTTTTTTTAAATGCAATAATTGTACTACCAAAAAAAGTTAAATTTCCCAAAAGGGACCATTATTTTGGGACGGAAAGAGTAAAAAAATCCAAAAAATCTCTTCCCAGACAGAGGCTAAACTCAACCGCCTTTTTCCTGTTAAGGACAAGTTTTTACATGTTACTCACTTGTCTGTTACTGTTACTTTACTTGCCATTCGACTTGCAATTTTCAAAAGGTTGTTTTGGATAACTTAAATAAGTATATTTTTTATATTTTTATAAAAAAATTATATAAAAAAATAGAGAAGTGATGTGATAAAAAAAATAAAAAAATAAATTATTTTTGAATTGTCAACCTTAATAAAGCATGCCAATTACGCACCAATATAAAATATTTGCTAAATATTTGAGTAGAAATTTTAGAATTTTTATTATTTTTATTTTTGAAAGTGCATAGAAAGTTGTGCAGAGCGAAATAGCCGTTGTCCAGGAATTCAAAATATTGAGTTATAACACTCTCGCGTACTCAAAAAAGCTTGATACTCGCTGTGTGTAAATGACACGTATAACTCTTTTTTAGTGTCTTCGAATGAACTCGCCAGATGTCGAATTGCCGTGGATAGAATTACATTGCGTTGGATAGAGTTTTGTAATTATAATTTGAGAGTATGAGTTATAATTTAAGTTTGTGAGATTTAAAATTATAATTTGAGTGTAGAAAATTTGTTTAGTGAGAGTTTTAAAAATAATTTTGAGAAGAGTTTTGAATTGAGTAAAGAATATATTTGATGTGATATTTGATATTTGATACAAAAACTTATAACTCATAACTAAACATACAACTCAAAATTATTTTAAAACACATAAAAAAGTTTAAAAATTCAAAAAATATTTTTTTCGAATACATAAATATTAACATATCAATTGCAACAACAAAAAAAAAAATCACTATTCCGGTCAACCGATTGGTTAGACCAAATTTTGAAAAAAAAAATAAAAAACGCGCTCTATTTAACAGAGTTTTCTGTAGAATTATGAAAAATTAATTCCACAACTCTATCCAAACATCATGCTCAAACCTATATACAAAAAAATTAATTTAAAAACATAAACAAAAATAGCCTTAGTTTTAAGGTCAAGTTTGGGAAGACTAAATAAGTACACTTTTTGACTTTTTATGAAATATGAGTTGGATTTTGGTTGGATTTAAAGTGATGTATTAGAGAAGTAATGTGACTTAAATAAAATGATATGACTTAAATAGAATAGTGACTTTTTGACTTTTTAAATTTTTTTAAAAGAGGTCAAACTTGACTTAACTCTCGAAGAAAGTACAAAGTTTCGGCTTTTTGTTCGAAAAAGTATAAAGCTGCGCTGCCCCAAGGTCTGAGTAAAGCGAGAGATTTTAAAGTGTTGCGGACAGGCTAACATACAATGGGGCGTTTGGAAATTACAAAAGGCTTTGAAAATATTTTTAGATAAGTGGTAAAGTTTATATCTTGTTTGACATTATTTCTTATTTAGAAGATTTTAATATTATTTTTAGACGAATGGATTAATGAATAGTAATGACTAAAATAATTAGCTTAAAACTTGAATTGACACACATAAAGAAAATGAATTAATAGCTTGAACTTGGCCAGACGTTATGCCAAATTTCTTGTGTCAAGGGTCATCAAACATCAATTCATGATATTTTTGATGCCCTTGAAACGTCTCAACTTCCTTTTTTGAGTTCATTCCATGGCAAAATGGAGGGATGATCATTTGAATTATATTCATTAATTTTTGTCCAAAAAGATATCCGAGATCATCAAGCGATCATATCACTTATTGATGGT